TATAACATTATTTATATATTATTAATATAAATATTTTTTTTAATTTGTATCACCATTAAAGGTCACGTGATATAAAAATTTTATTGCATTTTTGAGCATAACTTACAATTCTGAGTTTTGATGATTTTTCCCAAATTGGCCACGAGGCGCAGCAAGTTGCGGGACTAGGTGACTTGCACCATATATAAGTCTAGATGATTGCGTGACAATTTTATATATTAATAAATAATATTAATAATAAGCACAGATTATCCTTATAAAAACCAAGATCTGTTTTTTATATACAAACTAGTAATAGGCTACTTAACTTTTAAGCCTATTATAGTGTTGCTATGATAGTTTCATTTCATCAATTAATTTTATAATAATTAATAACCTATAAATAATTATAAATCAGTCTCTTATAATTAAAGTCAAAATTTTTCTAATGCAACCTTCCAAGTAGTTATAAGCAACTTTGTGGGGAATACTTTGACACAACTGTTGCCACTGAATTTGTTTTAGTCTGCATACTAGTTGGAAGAAAATCTTAAAATAAGTGTGAAGAAAGGAAACGCTTCTAACCTAGCATAGAATAACCAGTATTTAAGCTAACCTTTTCTTTTAACTGTTGTTAGAAAGTTCTAGTCTGGCTCTATAATTTTTATTATGGTTGAAAATCGCTTGTTATATGAAAAACATTGAATTTTTTTTTTGAAGTGGACGGATAATAATTTTTTTGTGTAATGCTTATATTGAATGACACTTGATCTCCAATGTCCTGCGACTAATATGTTTGACACACAGCCTACTCGCTGACTTACAGTCAAGTTTCCTTTATTTATATATATGACACACAGCCTACCCACTGACTTATGGTCACTAGGTTCTATTTAAATAATTATATCCCAAAGGCGTCCCCTTGAGATGTAACTGAATAATTACAAGGGTTCCCAACTAATCATTAAAGGTTGGCCAGACCATTAACCATTAGAAGGGCTGGGGGTCAATCTTACAGTCAAAGACTATTTTATGTAAGGTTATATATTTATTAAGAGTTATTATTATGTTGTTAAGGTTGTTATCAACAATATTAACAATTGATTAATG